AGAGCTGTTTAATGTCACACTGTGGAACATTCCAGACAGAGTAATGACATCTCCATAGAAACAAGCAGGTGATGGACCCCCAAACAAAAAGTTACATAGTGCACTTTTAACTGTATTTTAGTGAAATGTGTTGTCCAACCTGTCATAGGCACTTTAATGAATCACCTTCTGCCCGTGTGTCTGTGCCACAGCACACACTCCGTACACCCACAGGGGGCACTGGGACTCGTTAATGTGTTAATGTGTTTAATTAGAGGTGTATGTGGTGAGAACGAAGAGAGGAAACGGCAGCTTTATGGAGCAGATGAGGTTTGGCTGAGGTTTAGTCTTAAAGGGCCAATATCACACTAACTTCTGATCTGTTCTAATGTAGTTTCTCCATCACAAACAGACCGAGGAGTCCAAACATTTCTTCAGAATATTCAGAACAGTAGGATTTTTTTAAAAGCAGTAGGGTTATTTAAAAAGGGTACAGTTCTTGTACCTGTAACAATGTGGCATCTACAGCGAACAAAACGATAAACTAGAAATCTGCAGTACACTCAGTGGCCAGTAGGGAGCACTGAAGGACACATCAGGCAAAAGTGAAGAGAAAACCCATGGATCTATTAAAATAACTGGATAGGATGTTGCTGCTTGTAGCTGCCTCCAGTTTGACATAGTGACACTCACTGAAACTTCAGCTGAAAAAATCCCCTGGTCTGAGAGGGTTTTTCTCATAGAGCCAATATAATTATAAACTGCTCATGTTTGGCTGACAGGGCACTTACAGCTTTCAAAAATGTCAGATTTGTTGGCGATTTTTACATATTTTTAGATCATAAACTTTTTCTCAGCTCAAAATCCTATAGTTGTCTTAAAAAACACTTTATAATCATAAGCTTCAGCTCCGCTCTGCTCTGCTCTAGCTCCTCTCGCTCTGATTGGTCAAAGTGATCACGTGATACTATATTGTAAAAAAATACAAACGAATCTTACAAAATACAACTTTTATGAAAGCTGGATGCCCCATAAGCCGAACAAGGACTTTGCACAACACAGATTTTGCAAAACGTGCAAAAGTACTGTTACACTGTCCTGTATATTACTGAAGTAAAAGTACTGTTACACTGTACTGTATATTAGTGAAGTAAAAGTACTGTTACACTGTGCTGTATATTACTGAAGTAAAAGTACTGTTACACTGTACTGTATATTACTGAAGTAAAAGTACTGTTACACTGTACTGTATATTAGTGAAGTAAAAGTACTGTTACACTGTACTGTATATTACTGAAGTAAAAGTACTGTTACACTGTACTGTATATTAGTGAAGTAAAAGTACTGTTACTGTGTACTGTATATTAGTGAAGTAAAAGTACTGTTACACTGTACTGTATATTACTGAAGTAAAAGTACTGTTACACTGTACTGTATATTAGTGAAGTAAAAGTACTGTTACACTGTACTGTATATTACTGAAGTAAAAGTACTGTTACACTGTCTGTATATTAGTGAAGTAAAAGTACTGTTACACTGTACTGTATATTAGTGAAGTAAAGTACTGTTTACTGTACTGTATATTACTGAAGTAAAAGTACTGTTACACTGTACTGTATATTACTGAAGTAAAAGTACTGTTACACTGTGCTGTATATTACTGAAGTAAAAGTACTGTTACACTGTGCTGTATATTACTGAAGTAAAAGTACTGTTACACTGTACTGTATATTAGTGAAGTAAAAGTACTGTTACACTGTACTGTATATTAGTGAAGTAAAAGTACTGTTACACTGTACTGTATATTACTGAAGTAAAAGTACTGTTACACTGTACTGTATATTAGTGAAGTAAAAGTACTGTTACACTGTACTGTATATTACTGAAGTAAAAGTACTGTTACACTGTACTGTATATTAGTGAAGTAAAAGTACTGTTACACTGTACTGTATATTAGTGAAGTAAAAGTACTGTTACACTGTGCTGTATATTACTGAAGTAAAAGTACTGTTACACTGTCCTGTATATCAGTGAAGTCAAAGTACTGTTACACTGTACTGTATATTAGTGAAGTAAAAGTACTGTTACACTGTACTGTATATTACTGAAGTAAAAGTACTGTTACACTGTACTGTATATTACTGAAGTAAAAGTACTGTTACACTGTACTGTATATTACTGAAGTAAAAGTACTGTTACACTGTACTGTATATTAGTGAAGTAAAAGTACTGTTACACTGTACTGTATATTACTGAAGTAAAAGTACTGTTACACTGTACTGTATATTACTGAAGTAAAAGTACTGTTACACTGTACTGTATATTAGTGAAGTAAAAGTACTGTTACACTGTACTGTATATTACTGAAGTAAAAGTACTGTTACACTGTACTGTATATTAGTGAAGTAAAAGTACTGTTACACTGTACTGTATATTACTGAAGTAAAAGTACTGTTACACTGTACTGTATATTAGTGAAGTAAAAGTACTGTTACACTGTACTGTATATTAGTGAAGTAAAAGTACTGTTACACTGTACTGTATATTAGTGAAGTAAAAGTACTGTTACACTGTGCTGTATATTACTGAAGTAAAAGTACTGTTACACTGTACTGTATATTACTGAAGTCAAAGTACTGTTACACTGCACTGTATATTAGTGAAGTAAAAGTACTGTTACACTGTACTGTATATTACTGAAGTAAAAGTACTGTTACACTGTGCTGTATATTACTGAAGTAAAAGTACTGTTACACTGTACTGTATATTACTGAAGTAAAAGTACTGTTACACTGTACTGTATATTACTGAAGTAAAAGTACTGTTACACTGTACTGTATATTACTGAAGTAAAAGTACTGTTACACTGTACTGTATATTACTGAAGTAAAAGTACTGTTACACTGTACTGTATATTACTGAAGTAAAAGTACTGTTACACTGTGCTGTATATTACTGAAGTAAAAGTACTGTTACACTGTGCTGTATATTACTGAAGTATACTGTACACTGTACTGTACTGAAGTAAAAGTACTGTTACACTGTGCTGTATATTACTGAAGTAAAAGTACTGTTACACTGTACTGTATATTACTGAAGTAAAAGTACTGTTACACTGTGCTGTATATTAGTGAAGTAAAAGTACCGTTACACTGTACTGTATATTAGTGAAGTAAAAGTACTGTTACACTGTGCTGTATATTACTGAAGTAAAAGTACTGTTACACAAAACACAAGAGACAAATAGACAATAAAGAAAACAGGGGAAAAACAAAAGGTACCCAAGTGTAACGAGTGCACACCACAGACACGAGGAGAATCTGATGTTAAACCTCTGATGGTAAAGACTTCAGTGGGATCTGTCTGTGGACCACAAGCTACAAGTTGTGAGTGTGATCAGCTGGTTCCTGTCTACAGTAAAACCACTCACTTTGAGACTCTTAAGTGTTCAAAAGATCAGACTCTGCACTTCTAGTTCAGACACAAGTCAAAACTGTGTTATTATTATTTGTGAAATGTGGTGCAAAACTTCAGATACATGATTATTAAAGAATAAAAGGTTGGAAATAAAGTCGTGGGGAAGTAGAGTCACTATCACGAATCTGCAGCTTCACCTCGACCTGTGCTCTGTGTGGATGTAAACAGACACATGTGAGGAACCAAACTCACCTTTTCACTTTTAAAGAACACCTCAAACTGGATTATCAGCGCGGTTTTGTGGACTGGGTGGCATTATTTGTGGAGGACAACTTCTGTGGATAATGTGGATGAGATTACTTGGTCCCCAAAGGACTGACCAGGTTTTGTATTCACCCTGTGTGTCTGTGTGTGTCTGTCTGTGTGTGTCTGTTCACCCGCGATAATTCCGCCATTTATGGACCTATTGTCACCAAATTTGGTACGTGAGTCAAGCCCCCATTCCCGATGCCGCAAAAAAAGTTTGGTGACGATCTGAGGTCATTTGAGGTCACACGGGTCAATTGAAAGGTCACGCCGTTATAAAGGCCAGGCAAGTTCGGCAATTTCTGAACCATCTGCAGCCTAAAATATTCACCCAATCATCACACAAGTTGGCACACACATAACCGAGGTACACTGGATGTTACAGGTTGAAACCGGTCAAGGTCACTTGAAGGTCAAGACAATCAAGGTCAAATATGTGTTTTTGGTCATAACTCCACGAAGGATCGAGCTGGAGCAACAGGAGTGTCTCAAAATCTCAGAAAAATTATCACCTATTTATAATTCTATGCAGTTGTATAGAAACATATTAATAGTTTTCGAGATAATCACTAATTCTAACAGTTTCTTTCTCTTTCAGTGTAGCTGTTAAAATCCTAATTGGAACTAAAATCATTTCCATTTCTTGTTTTTCTGGTCACAACAGTCACACAACTAACATACACACAACTCATGAAAAATGACATTTTGGTTCCACACTAGTAAACACACACATTCTCATGTGTGACCAGTATCACATAAATGTTCATGGGCCTGTACACATACACACATTACACTGTGGATATAATGATCATGTCATATGGGCTGGGCTCCTCATAAACTGCTTCTGTGCTGATGAACTGACCCACTGACGCCTCAGGGAGACCAGGCTGATATTTCTTTCTGATTACACTTGTTTTTGCTATGTCCTGAGTTTGTATGTTGTGTCTCTGTGTCCGTCACTCCTCTGCCCCTGACACTCTGTTTTATTGTCTGTTATCGTAGCGTAGCTGATGTTTGGTGGTTATGATCTGACAGAGCAGCTCAGAGTCACACTGACACCACACACAAGAAGCACAGCGGCTTGAAAATCAAGTACAAAAACACAAAGTTGGGTCACGAGTCCCCGAACTGGGGAAAAAGCAAATCGCAGCTTAAATCGGGCAAATTCTCTGTAGTGTGTGGCGGCCTTAAATCTATGGTTTGTCTAAAACATACAGTGGTGTACACAGACACTGGGGGTGAAGTGGGTCAAGTATCGGTATCGGCATCAGTGCATCTGTGCGATCCGTTAAACTCACCGTTGATGACCGGGGTGTACACCACGATTCCGGCCAGATTGGGGTCAGAGACGGTTTTGTCCAGAATGAGTCCTCCAATGCTGCGAAAACAATACAAGTCCAACATTATTTATCTTTGACACAAAAGAGCTGCAGCAAATCACAATCCAACAAAGGGACATTTATCCAGTTTATCGAGCGCGGTCACTCTCCTGTACTTCTCTAATCGACCAACACACCGCAGGCATTTCAACAGCTGCACGCACAATCCTATACACTCCCTCTGTGTGTGTGTGTGTGTGTGTGTGTGTGTATAGTGAGTGTGTTGTGTGTACAGTGAGTGCGTTGTGCGTACAGTGAGTGTGTTGTGTGTGTACAGTGAGTGTGTTGTGCGTACAGTGAGTGTGTTGTGCGTACAGTGAGTGTGTTGTGTGTACAGTGAGTGTGTTGTGTGTGCATAGTGAGTGTGTTGTGTGCATAGTGAGTGTGTTGTGTGTACAGTGAGTGTGTGTGTACAGTGTGTGTGTGTGCATAGTGTGTGTTGTGTGCATAGTGAGTGTGTTGTGTGTACAGTGAGTGTGTTTGTGTGTAGTGAGTGTGTTGTGTGTACAGTGAGTGTGTTGTGTGTACAGTGAGTGTGTTGTGTGTATAGTGAGTGTGTTGTGTGTGCATAGTGAGTGTGTTGTGTGTGTGCATAGTGAGTGTGTTGTGTGTATAGTGAGTGTGTTGTGTGTATAGTGAGTGTGTTGTGTGTGCATAGTGAGTGTGTTGTGTGTATAGTGAGTGTGTTGTGTGTGCATAGTGAGTGTGTTGTGTGTACAGTGAGTGTGTTGTGTGTACAGTGAGTGTGTTGTGTGTACAGTGAGTGTGTTGTGTGTATAGTGAGTGTGTTGTGTGTACAGTGAGTGTGTTGTGTGTGCATAGTGAGTGTGTTGTGTGTATAGTGAGTGTGTTGTGTGTGTATAGTGAGTGTGTTGTGTGTGCATAGTGAGTGTGTTGTGTGTATAGTGAGTGTGTTGTGTGTATAGTGAGTGTGTTGTGTGTGCATAGTGAGTGTGTTGTGTGAATAGTGAGTGTGTTGTGCGTACAGTGAGTGTGTTGTGTGTACAGTGAGTGTGTTGTGTGTACAGTGAGTGTGTTGTGTGTATAGTGAGTGTGTTGTGTGTACAGTGAGTGTGTTGTGTGTGTGCATAGTGAGTGTGTTGTGTGTATAGTGAGTGTGTAGTGTGTGCATAGTGAGTGTGTAGTGTGTGCATAGTGAGTGTGTTGTGTGTATAGTGAGTGTGTTGTGTGTATAGTGAGTGTGTAGTGTGTGCATAGTGAGTGTGTTGTGTGTACAGTGAGTGTGTTGTGTGTGTACAGTGAGTGTGTTGTGTGTACAGTGAGTGTGTTGTGTATATAGTGAGTGCGTTGTGTGTGCATAGTGAGTGTGTTGTGTGTACAGTGAGTGTGTTGTGTGTGTAGTGAGTGTGTTGTGTGTACAGTGTATGTATAGTTAGTGTGCTGGTGTTGTGTACTTTTTTTTTTCTTCTAAAATACTATATTCAATTAAAAACACATAGTTTTAGGAGGTTCATTTTTGTTTTTGACTCTCCTCTCCCTTTGCTCTCCTTACTAAGTCACTCCCCCTTCAGCAATGAGTCAAGCTTTATTTCAGCTTCCAATGGTCCATACAGAACATTTAAAAACAGACAGAAGACAAACAGAACAGTAATAATGGTTTATAGTCCATAAAAGGTGTTCTTCTAATGCCTCCAGAGTTCAGACCCTGACACTGCTCTGCTCAGGCATTATTAAAACATTTATAATTTCATTCTGTGGATCTGAGAGGTGCTTGAAAAACTTGTATACAAAGTTTCTGATATAAGTACAATCAAACTACTGCACGCCATGTTACTGCAGACAGTTTTGTGTCATGTTTTTGTATATTTATGAAGAGTTGTCGTGTGGAGCATGGGTGATATGGGCTTGTGGGCGGAGCCTTGTACAGACCCGTCCTGCTAACCGTAAGGAGGGTTAGAACAGGAGAGATCTCTAGATTACTCAGACAGGCAGAGATGACTCTAAAACCTCTTCAGACATGTTTTTGATGAGAGAACAGCACTAGAACATGAGAGAAAGAAAAAAAGTATTGGCTCTTTTAAACACTTTTTATGGGATGAATTGGTGTTAATAAAATCCAAATGCTACAGAGAACTATTAGTGAATGAAAGTGCTAAAATGATCAAAATAAGGATTCCTTAAAGGTGCATTGTGTAACTTGGCTCAGTCAAAAGCTTTTCTCCATGGAGATGTTATTGCTTTGTCTGGATTGTTTCACAGTATGGCATTAAACCTTTTTATCTTCATGGAGACCAAACCAGACCAAGTTAAAGGTCAGATCTGTGAAGAGGCGACCCCGCTCACAGTCACAATGTTTGTTTATCTATGTTTCTTTTTAGCTATAAACCACCTGTAATTGAATAAATGTAAAGTAGAGCTGTTTAATGTCACACTGTGGAACATACCAGGCAGAGCAACGACATCTCCATGGAAACAAGCGGTGACGGACCCTCTCCCCGTCCCACCAGCATCCAAATGATTCACCATGATGAGTTTAGAAGCATTTTTCACAAGTGTCAGAGACCAGAGTGGAGTTTTGCTTAGATAATAGAGACAGTACACAGCTGACTTACTGTGTCCCTAACAATATATCTGTACTGCACTATTTCCACACTAAGTAATAGACCTGATACTCAATACTGATTCCAATACTTTTTTTTAAGACAATCTCCTCTGATTTTCCACTTTTTTTTTTCTTTTCTATTCCCATGTGGCCTTATATCTGTGTACTGTATTTTTCAGACTATAAGTGGCACTTTTTTTCATGGTGTGGGTGTTTCCTGCGACTTATACTCCGGTGATGAACTGTTGGAGTATTGATTAAGATTTGATTTTGATACTTTTGACAAAACTAATATCATCTGAAATACAGGAATTCTCTGATTAGTGCTGGTTTAGTCCCAGTTTAGACCTAGTTTGGACCTGGTTTAGGCCTGGTTTAACTTTGTTTTAGACTTGGTTTTAGTCTTGGATTTAGTCTTGGTTTGGACCTGGTTTAGACCTGATTTAGTCCTCATTTAGTCCTGATTTTTTCACGAAAGGTCCTGTCTGTCCTGTCAGTGGGTCTTTTTTAGAATCTATACCAGTGAAAAAATGAGGATCTCGTTTCGATACTAGTCTTAGTATGGATTAGTGTGTGAGTTTTGATATTTTTGACAATAGATTATAATGAAAAACAACCATGAGCGTTCTTTTATAGCCTGTTAAATGTGTAAAGGTGTTTTGATCAGAGTTTGTCCTTTCCAGAGCGTTTGGTGAGAGCGGAGGAGACCAGAGGGTGGTACTGACATTTGTACTGTGTGACTCATACAACTGCAGACAATGAGAAAAGAACTATTTAAGAGAGGAGGAGGAGGAGAGAGAGAGGAGGAGGAGGAGAGGAGGAGGAGGAGGAGGAGGAGGAGGAGGAGGAGGAGGAGGAGAGGAGGAGGAGGAGAGGAGGAGGAGGAGGAGGAGGAGGAGAGGAGGAGGAGAGGAGGAGGAGAGGAGAAGGAGGAGAAGGAGGAGGAAGGAGGAGGAGGAGGAGGAGGAGGAGGAAGGAGGAGGAGGAAGGAGGAGGAGGAGAGGAGGAGGAGAGGAGGAGGAGGAGGAGGAGGAGGAGGAGGAGGAGGAGGAGGAGGAGGAGGAGGAGGAGGAGGAGGAGGAGAGGAAAGGAGAGAGGAGAGGAAGGAGGAGGAGGAGAAGGAGGAGAGGAAGGAGGAGGAGGAGAGAGGAGAGAGGAGGAGAGGAGGAGGAGGGAGGAGAGGAGGAGGAGGAGGAAGGAGAGAGGGAGGAGGAGGAGGAGAAGAGGAGAGGAAGAGGAAGGGAGGAGAGAAGGAGGAGAGAGGAGGAGGGAGGAGGAAGAGGAGGAGAGGAGAGAGAGAAAGGAGGAAGAGAAGGAGGAGGAAGAGGGAGGAGAGGAGAGGGAGATGAGAGAGAAGAGGAGGAGGAAGAAGGGAGGAAGAGAGAGAAGAGAGAGAGGAGAAGAGAAGAGGAGGGAGAAGAGGAGGAGAGAGGGAGAGCAAAGGGAGAGAGGAGAGAAGAAGTGACAGAGAGGAGAGAGACGAAAGCACAGAAGAGAAGAGAGAAGAAAAGGAAGAGGGAGGAGAGGAGAAGTATAGGCGGAGAGGATAGAGGAGAGAAGAGAGAGGAAAGAAGACAGTGGAGGAGGAGAGAGAAGAGAGAGAAGAAAGGAGAGAGAGAGGAGGAGGAGGAAAGAAGAGCAGATGAGGAGAAGAGAGAAGAAGAGAAGAAGAAGCAGAGACAGGATGAGAGACGAGAGAGGAGAAGAAAGAAGAAGAGAGAAGGAATGAAGGAGAGAAGAGGAGAAGAGAGAGGAGAAAAGAAGCCAAAATCTCCCACCAAACTTCAGATGAAAGAGCATGTGTGAGTGGGCCGGACTCTGTAAACACTGAGCAGAAGAACACAGGCCTCCAAGGTGTCTTCAACTCAACGGCCACGTTCACTCGGGTTGATGAAAATACTCCTCTTCTACATCTTTCACTCACTCCATTCTCTTTCTTTCTTTCTTTCTTGCTCTCTTGCTCTTTTGCTCTCTTTCTATCTTGCTTTCTTTCTTCCTTTCTTTCTTTCTTTCTTTCCCTTTTGCTCTCTTTCTTTCTATCTTTCTTTCTTGCTTTCTTTCTTTGTTGCTTTCGATCTTGCTTTCTTTCTTTCTATCTTTCTTTCTTGCTTTCTTTCTTTCTTTCTTTCTTTCTTGCTTTTCTTGCTTTCTTTCTTTCTTGCTCTCTTGCTCTCTTTCTTTCGTTCTTGCTTTCTTTCTTTCTTGCTCTCTTTCTTTCTTACTCTCTTGCTCTCTTTCTTCCTTTCTTTCTTTCTTGCTCTCTTGCTTCTTCCTCTTTCTTTCTTTCTTTCTTTGTCATGAATTAGTCCCAGTGTGATGTGCAGGTTTTTACATCAGATCTTGCCCACTTTACAACAGTACAAAAAAACAAAAACAAGAAAACATTTTTGTATGATTATCCATGACACTAATGCGGTTTGTGTCTCCACTCCGCAGAGCTGATGTGTAACTTGGTTTTGGACACGTTCATTAACACAGTCGGAAACCACGGTGATAATGAAAACTCTCAGAACTTTTCTACAGGATGGTCAATCAAAAGCTTTTCTCCGTGCAAATGTTATTGCTTTGTCTGGAATGTTCCACAGTATGGCATTACACCTTTCTATCTCCATGGAGACCAAACCAGACCAAGTGAAGGGTCAGATCTGTGGAGAGGCGACCCCGCTCACAGTCACAACGTCTGTTTTTCTAGGGATTTTTGAGCTATAAAACCACCTGTAATAGAATAAATGTAAAGTAGAGCTGTTTAAAGTCACACTGTGGAATATTCCAGACAGAACAATGACGAACTCCCAACCTTTAAATCATACAGCTTTATTTTCTATTTTTTATTTATGTGTTCTCATATCTGTATAATCCCTCAGTGGTCCAGATCTAAACCAGGTCTAAACCAGATCTAAACCAGATCTAAACCAGATCTAAACCAGGTCTAAACCAGGTCTAAACCAGATCTAAACCAGATCTAAACCAGATCTAAACCAGGTCTAAACCAGGTCTAAACCAGGTCTAAACCAGGACTAAACCAGGTCTAAACCAGATCTAAACCAGATCTAAACCAGGTCTAAACCAGATCTAAACCAGATCTAAACCAGGTCTAAACCAGATCTAAACCAGATCTAAACCAGGTCTAAACCAGGTCTAAACCAGGACTAAACCAGGTCTAGACCAGGACTAAACCAGGACTAAACCAGGTCTAGACCAGGTCCATGGGTGTATATTAGCCTCTTATATTTGTTCTGATCCAGTTCCAGATGGTTCTAAACACATTCAGGAAAGATTCTGCTGTGTTCTGTATGTGGGACTTTTTTAGTATCGAAACCTGCAGAAAATGAGGATTTGTTCGATACTTCTATTAGTATTGATTGATTTTCGATACTTTTGACAAAACTAATATCATCTGAAATACAGGAATTTTCTGATTAGTCCTGGTTCAGACCCAGTTTAGACCTGGTTTAATTCTAGTTTAGTCCTGGTTTAGTCCTGGTTTAGTTCCGGTTTAGTCCTGGTTTAGTCCTGGTTCAGTCCTGGTTTAGTCCTGGTTTAGTCCTGGTTTAGTCCTGGTTCAGTCCTGGTTTAGTCCTGGTTTAGTCCTGTTTCAGTCCTGGTTCAGTCCTGGTTCAGTCCTGGTTTAGTCCTGTTTCAGTCCTGGTTTAGTCCTGTTTCCTGGTTTAGTCCTGTTCAGTCCTGTTCAGTCCTGGTTCCAGTCCTGGTTCAGTCCTGGTTCAGTCCTGGTTTAGTCCTGTTTCAGTCCTGGTTCAGTCCTGGTTCAGTCCTGGTTTAGTTCCTGTTTCAGTCCTGGTTTAGTCCTGTTTCAGTCCTGGTTTAGTCCTGGTTCAGTCCTGGTTTAGTCCTGGTTTAGTCCTGGTTTAGTCCTGGTTTAGTCCTGGTTTCAGTCCTGGTTCAGTCCTGGTTCAGTCCTGGTTCAGTCCTGGTTTAGTCCTGTTTCAGTCCTGGTTTAGTCCTGTTTCAGTCCTGGTTTAGTCCTGTTTCAGTCCTGGTTCAGTCCTGGTTCAGTCCTGGTTTAGTCCTGGTTTAGTCCTGTTTCAGTCCTGGTTCAGTCCTGGTTCAGTCCTGGTTTAGTTCTGTTTCAGTCCTGGTTTAGTCCTGTTTCAGTCCTGGTTCAGTCCTGGTTCAGTCCTGGTTTAGTCCTGGTTTAGTCCTGGTTCAGTCGTGTTTTAGTCCTGTTTCAGTCCTGTTTCAGTCCTGGTTCAGTCCTGGTTTGGTGTTTTGGTCTGGGTCAGTGTGTGATTCTGGATGTTGGGAGCGTGGCGTGCAGACACTGACCTGCTGATGACCATGGCGGTGATGACGGGCTCCCAGCCTGAGTAGAGCAGCGTGCGGGAGGCCGGGTGTTTGGAGGAGACCACGATCCAGAGCGGAGTCAGGCTCATGAAGAAGGCACAGACCAGAGAAGATACGTACGGATACGGATCTGAGGAGGACACAACACAACTACAAGGTTAAAGACCAGGACTTAAACAGGACTAAAACAGGACTAAACCAAGGACTAAACCGGGATTAAACCAAGGACTAAACCAAGGACTAAACCAAGGACTAAACCAAGGACTAAACCAGGACTAGACCAGGACTGAACCAGGACTAAACCAAAACTAAACCAGAACTGAACCTTCAGTGCCTCTGCCACTTGTCACCTCTTTTCCTCTCCTCCTCTGACCATCTCCTCTGCTTCTCTCTTCTCCTCTGCTCTTTTCCTCTCCTCCTCTTCTCCTCCGTCTTTTCTATCCATCATCTTCTGCACCAGCTGACTCCACTCTTCCTGGGAAAACCTCCAAACCTCGAGTACTATCAGATTCTAAAATGGTCTTTTCATTAGAGCAGCAGATCTGGGTCCCACCTGGGTCCTAACGAGGAACTGGAGCACAAACCCAACCTTCTACACCCCGCCGCATTTCCTCTTTACCTCCGACTGTTCTGAGAGAGAAAACCCCAGAGCGCGCAGCACACTCTGGACAGATGTTTTTAAAAAGGCTTCTATCAGCTCAGAGGAACAAAAGCTGCTCCATTTATTATGCAGGTAATATCAATGAAGCACGGGGATAGAAATAGAACAGAAGGGGAGTTTAATGAGCGCCAAAAGAAACAAGAAGAGAAAGTTCATTTGTCTTATAATCAGAAAGTGCAGGGTTCAAACATTCAATTGATTTTAAAGTTCTTTTAGTGTTTTTTTTAAATGTAACCCTCGCGGACGCTGCGCTCCTCCCGGTCATTCCCAAAGTCTGGACACACAGACGTCTTTCCGGTACTTCGGCTCTCGTCTAAGGAACAGCCTGAAGGAGGAGCTCAGGGAATCTGTGTGTCATTCGTTCATTAGTTTTTCAATATAAAACCAAAAATAAGAAAAGGAAAAAACAGTTTTCTTCATTATTTGTCTCCAAAATCAAAATGAAAAAAAAACAGATAACAATTTGTTTTTTTCAGTTTTCAATTTTATGTTTAAATGAAAAATGGAAAAAATGGATAATGGCCGTTTCCCGTTTACGTGACTTCAATGACTGCGATGTCGGACTTCTGCGCTGCATACGGACTGAACCAGGACTGATCCAGGTCCGGAACCAGAGCGGGACTGAGACTGAGACCAGACCAGGACCAGACCAAGACTGAGATGAGAACTGAAACCGGGACCAGACCGAGACTGAGACCAGACCGGGACCAGAGTGGGACTGAGACCGAGATCAGACCGGCACTGAGAATGAGACCGAGAACGAGACCAAGAACGAGAACGAGATCAGGCCAGGACCAGACCAAGACTGAGATGAGAACTGAAACCCGGACCAGACCGAGACTGAGATCAGACCGGGACCATAGCAGGACTGAGACCGAGATCAGACCGGCACTGAGAACGAGACTGAGAATGAGATCAGTCCGGGACCAGTCCGGGACCAGACCGAGACTGAGACCGGCCTGGGACCGAGAACGAGACCAGAGTGGGACCAGACCGGGACTGAGACCAAGACCAGGCCGGGACCAGACCAGAGGCTCAGAGTCCACGGCAGGGCCAGAGCTCGAAGCTGAGGCTCGGACCCAGCGGAGGCTCAAAGTCAAAGCTCGGAGTCCGCCCTTGTCCCGGTCTGGTCCTGGACCTGGATCAGTCCTGGTTCAGTCCGTATGCAGCGCAAAAGTCCAACATCACAGTCACAGACGTCACATAAACAGGAAACGGCAGTTATCCATTTTTTCCATTTTTCATTTAAACATAAAATCGAAAACTGAAAAAACTAATCATTATCCGTTTTTTCATTTTGGTTTTGGAGACAAATAATTAAGAAAATAGTTGTTTTTTCGTTTTCTTATTTTTGGTTTTAAATTAAAAAACGAATGAACGAATGACACACAGATTTCAGGGCCAAAGAACGTTCACGTTTTTAACAGCAGACTCAAGACCCACCTTTTTAACTTAGCTTTTCATCGAAATCTTATACTTTTACTTGTTTTTATTATACATAATTTATTAGATTTATTTTAGGCATGTTATTAGCTTGAACTCATATTCCTTTTCTATTTTTAGGATTTCCAGTGTTTCCTGTGTAGGAGCCTCTGCACTGGGAGCGGCTGTCGGGGTCTGTTCTGTTGGTGCTTGGGCTTCATCTCTCCCCAAGTCCTGTGGTGGTTCCTGGACACGGTGGACGGCTCTCTGCTCCCGCTGTAGACGGCTCTCTGCTCCTAATGTGGACGGCTCTCTGCTCCCGCTGTAGACGGCTCTCTGCTCCTAATGTGGACGGCTCTCTGCTCTTTGTGTGAACGGCTCTCTGCTCCTAGATTAGACGGCTCTCTGCTCCTAGTTTAGACGTCTCTCTGATCTAGTTTAGACGGCTCTCTGCTCCCGGTGTGGATGGCTCTCTGCTCTTTGTGTGAACGGCTCTCTGCTCCTAGTTTAGACGGCTCTCTGATCTAGTTTAGATGGCTCTCTGCTCCCGGTGTGGATGGCTCTTTGTTCCTAATGTGGAGGCTCTCTGCTCCCAGCGTGGACGGCTCTCTCCTTGGCATTTTGTCAGTCTACGCTCGTTTTCACCTTTACTTACTTTGTTCTATTTATGTTTTATTTTTTAATCGGTGAGACGTGTAGGATTCAGCGGCGTCAGCTCCCATTGGGCAACGCATTATTCTAAAGTCAGCGCGCTTGTTTCTTTTATTAAGTTGTTTTAGATCAATATTGTGATTTAAAATGTGCAAATTATAACAGAATCATCCACGGTGGTCATAGATTAGAACTAAAGAGCTCACCCAAGAGCTATAGGGCAGATTTAAAGGTTAAAATAACTCCACTGTGCATCTGATTATAAAAGGAGGAGAGAAAAGGCTAATTCAAATAAAACTAACAGGTGTGAGTGGGACGTTTTATTGTCCAATAATTAGGATTAGACAATAATCATGGTCATGGCAAAACCCCGCTCTGGCCTCTGAAAGCGGTGAAAAGTGCTTATAAACTCATTGTGGCGAATTTTGTGTTTTTGTTTTGTTTTGTAGTATTTTATTATCCCTGTATTGAAATTGTCCTCTGCATTTGACCCATCCTTACAGGAGCAGTGAGCAGCACATGGGACCCATCTTTGTGATCTTGTTGCTAGGCCTGGTCAGGAATGGGTCAGTCACCTGCTTGTTTCTATGGATACGTCATCACTATGTCTGGAATGTTCCACAGTGTGACATTAACCAGCTCTACTTTACATTTATTCAATCACAGGTGGTTTAATAACTCAAAAATACCAGACATTTTGACTGTGAGCTTGGTCTGGATTGGTCTCCGTGAAGATAAAAAGGTTTAATGCCATACTGTGAAACATTCCACACAAAGCAAAATCCGTGTTTCATTTGTTCATTCGTTTTTCAATATAAAACCAAAAATAAAAAAATGAAAAAACAACAGTTTTCTTCATTATTTGTCTCTAAAACCAAAATGAAAAAAACAGATAATGATTCGTTTTTTTCAGTTTTTGATTTTGTGTTTAAATGGAAAAAACAAATAAGGACCGTTTCCCGTTTACGTGCAGTGTTGGGAAGGTTACTTTTAAAATGTAATCCCCTACAGATTACAGATTACACACCCCAAAATGTAATTTGTAACGTAACGCATTAAATTACTTAAAGTGAGTAACGTAATCTGATTACTTTGGATTACTTGATATTGTCATGTTTTTTTAAATGACATGAATGTAGCAACCACATCCTCAAAATTCTTGTTTGTTGTCTTCAAATTGTCTGAGCCCAAGTCTCCATGAATAAACAACTGTTTACTGTAGAGAAACAAAGACCACGAGATCTTAACATAAGAGGTTTTGTCTGTTATAAGACAGTAACAAGATCAGCCATATTAAAAAATATTACTGATAGAGAAATTATATGAGATCACCTTAAATTATGTCAACCTACTGTTAGGTGTCATGTTGTTTAGACCTGGTTTAGTCCTGGTTTAGTCCTGGTTTAGTCCTGATTTTTAGACCTGGTCTAGACCAGGTCTTTAGTTCTGGTTTAGTCGTGGTTTAGTCCTAGTTTAAACCTGGTTCAGTCCTGCTTTAGTCCTGGTGTTAGTTCTGGTTTAGAGGCGCAAAGGAGGAAGTGCGGTTTACGCGAGAAAACACGGTCCACACGCGGCGCACGAGACGGCGGTGTCCGCGCAGTAACTACGGAAGGAGACGTGGTCCGCGGGTTCTCAGGTTGATGACGATGATGAAGGTGTGTGTTTGTGTGTGTGTGTGTGTGTTTGTGTTTGTTTGTGTGTGTTTGTGTGTGTGTGTCCCCTCATGTGGCAGGTCACTATAGGACAGTAGTGCAGATATTATGAGTCTATGCAGGTTGTTTTCACCAGTGCCAGTAGCTCCTGTTTGACATTTAAGTTGTAGGCGATTTTATATTTGTTTTTTTTATATATATATCTCACATCGGGAGAAGAATTTCCAAGAAACAAATGCGTTTTTACCAATGCACTGCTGCTTCCACTGTGTGACTGACACCGCCAACTTTAACATGACGTTTCCATCGCTCTTATTGCGCGCGTTCTGTTTGAGTTTCAGGCAATGAGTGAAATTACCGAAATAAAAAAATAACTAAATGGGATGTAGCACAAAATGTGAAAACAGGAAAATACCGCCTTGTAATCCACTTATTTCAGCAAAGTAACTGTAATCCAATTACCACTCATTGAAACAGTAACTGTAACTGAATACAGTTACTCATAATTTGTACTCTAATTACGTAACGGCGGTACATGTAATCTGTTACTCCCCAACACTGTTTACGTGACTCCCATGACTGCGATGCCGGACTTTTGCACTGCATACAGACTGAACCAGGACTGATCCAGGTCCAGAACCAGACCAGGACCAGACCAGGACCAGAACGGGACCAGAGTGGACTCCGAGCTTTAACTCTGAGCCTCCGCAGGGTGTGAGCCTCAGCTTCGAGCTTCGGCCCTGC